GTCCGATGTGGGATATTAATATTGCTTATGGCCTAAACACTGTGTACAGGGCTACTCTGTGGAAATGGTGCCAAATGTAGGTCATCATTTTACATGTTTACTCCCTCCCAAGACTACTAATGAAAAGTTCAGTAGTAGTATCATCTTTCCTGAGCTGAAAAAAATTGTGTGGCGTTTTAAATTTTCATGACTGCAAAACTGGTAGTGTTTCGAGAGAGACCCTTTATATTCATTACCCAGGAGAGAGATAATTCCTTGCTTTCAGGGTAAGGTTACAGGCATCTGTGAAAAGTGGATACGATGAAGGATGCGTAGCATTATGTAGAAATACTGAGGGAGGAGACTTGCTTTGAGGCAAATCTTCCAAACTTTAACAGAGATGCCAACTTCAACAAGCACTTTGTCAAGCTGATAACTGGAGTAATTTTCCGAGGCAGTTCTTGACTTAGCTGGCGTTGCCTTCATGAAAGATGCATTCTGATCAGCATTCTGGTTTCATGTAACCTGGTGTAAATGCAGTGTACCTCTGCTGTGGGAATGATGTAATAGAGTGAGAAATGAGATGGATCAGAGACCCTCATCACCTACTCCTGAAGAAAGTAAAGGCAGCCTTAAGCCTTGCTTGTATTTCTGTAGCCCTAGTGTCATTGCTTATGTGATAAGCAATGTCCTCCTATGTGAGGACAGCCTCAGGTGTAAATGAAAGCAGTTTGGAGAATGCTCTAATCTGTTTTCCTACGTTCTGGTAGTGGATGGGGAGTAGAGATGCCTTGATTATGAAGCAATATTCCCCAAATTAGTGGCCATGAGGGAGATGACCTATTCTGTGAGCAAATTCTGTGTCAGAATTTGCCTCCTTGGCTGGGATCCCCAGAGGCTGCATCTGCTGGTTTTATGGCACAGCATAAAACATCTGAAATGAGTTATAGGAAAAAAAAGGGTCCTGTCATGTTTTAAGTACATTACTAGAAAACAGATTGTATTATTTTGCTCTGTTATTGGGTGAAATATTTCTCAAATACAAATTCAGCCAAGCAGGTGCAAACTCGTTTAAACTGACAAATTGACTGAGACAGATACAATGTGCAAATGCTCGTGTATGCATTGAATACAAGTTAGTTATAAAACAGGATTGAGGGAATATAAGTAGCAGAATATAATAATGCTGTAAATAGTACTGACTTAGTAATGAGGGTTGGCATGAAGATGTATAAAGTGAATATAACTTGTGAACCAAGAGGAAGAAGTGAGATCCAGATGGAAAAAGAGAAAATTAAGTAAGGTCCCCCTAGTCCCACTTTAATTTGTGTTGGTTAGCAAAACCCTACGGCCAAAGTTGGTTTAATAGTTGGTGAATATGTTTTCATTGATTTATATTCTTGGTTTAAATCAGAAGATGAAATTGGTTCATGAAGAACCCCACTCCAGAGTGCGTTCCCTGCCACCCTAGTGGTACAGATGCTGGTAATGTTCACCATCTGGTTATTGTTCTCCTTGTGGGGTTATTTGGAATGTTATATTTTTACAGGATAAAAAAGGAAAACAAGGTGGAAATGTTAATTCTAAAGATAAGTTAACTCCTTCAAGCTATGTTGTTTCTTTAGAGAGACATGAAGTGTTAAACTGTTTAACATCTGGAAGTATCTGTCCTTGTAGCCCAGCCTGTGGATTAACTGAGTGCTAAACATTTCAACGGAGATTTAGAGAATGAACAGAAAGTGTTTAACCGTTTTGACCCAGTGTAATTTTAGAAGTGTAGAATAGGTAAGCAAATGCTAGATACATTTTCAAATATACATATGCATATGTTAAAAAAGATATTTTATTTTTTAGATAAGACCCTAATTACATAACAACTGGATTTTTGTTTTTATAGTTCAAGGCAGTGTAGTTCAAGAAAAGAAAAAGGAGTTAATTTGACAGTTCTATGCAACTTTCAGAATTATTTATTTATGTAAAAAGGCTGCCATTTAACTTTTGTAAATTAATTAGTTTTAAATATTCAATTAGATGAATTATTGTAGTCTAATCCCATGGTCTCTCTTTCTACCAGTATGACAGGTATCTAAAATGGGACATACCGTTTCTGTGGGTATCTGTAGCTCAATGTTCTGCTTTGCTTTTCTACTCAGAGTTTTTATATTATTTTTTTAATAGCATAAAATGACAGAGGATTTTTTCCCTGCCCCTTATCTTTCATGTTAAGATAGTTCTGGAGTAGTTTGCATTTTTCTCTTTTTCTTGGGCAGTCAGGTGTTGCCCTCTAATAGGAAATTTTAGATCACATCTAAGAAGTGTGTCAAGGACATGAACTTGCTGAAGATGTCTGTTTGTTGCAATGCAGCAGAGTTTTTAAAGTCTTTAGGCAGCCTAAAGTCTTTCATCCACTGATACTATTAGGACTAAGTCACAATACTCTGTTGAGCATTTTTTGTATTTGCTAGAGGATATAGCAAATGTGAGAATGGATAAGCAAGCATATTACCCCCCCAATCAGTGTTTGGTAAAGATTGTTCCTTAATATTTCATTCTTGTTCTGAGATATATTTCCACAATGACAGTTTACTATGCTTTAGAAAAAGATAATTCTTAATAACAATGAATTATTTATTCCAAGCTGTACTATTTAATGATGAAGTGTTATTTAGGAGATTTGATAATTTAATGCTTATTCATATCTATATTTTCAGTATCGAAATGAGTAATAGCATAGAAAGCATCAACTCTGTTGGTCTGTAATTTTTAAGTTCAGGGAAGTTGTGCAGTTTGTATGAATATTTAATCCCGGTAATTTATGTTATCTTTTATTTTTAAGGAAGATATAGCATATCACTGAATTCAATGCCTGTGTGATTACTTTTTATCTTTGTGGCATGCCTAGTTCTGTAATAGTTACCTATCTTTTTTGTAGGGCAATATTCTAATTGTAGTTAAACATCAAGAAAGACATTGAATTCTTGGGATGTGTTATTTCAACCCATAAATATATTCATCTGTATATAATTTTTTAGTCTGACATAGGCTTTCCAGTTTAAGTAAGTGCCTGTTTTAATGGTACCAATTTTAGGCTTAGAGCCCTTCTACCCAACCTTTTTTAAAATTCTTAAGATTTTTCCACTAATTCCAGAAGAACAAACAGATGGGATAAAGTAAAGTCCTTTTCCAATAATTTCCTGATCATCTCTGTGCAAACAAATAGTTAGATCCAGAATACCACATAAACATGAAGCCCACTCTGCATTCCTCTTCCAAAATTTATTTGCATTGAAACTGCCTGTTTCATTTCTGGACACAAAGATTCTCTTGACCCCACTGTTATGAAAGAGCTTATTGTTTCTCCTTCTAAATTAAAAAGCCTTCCTAGAACGTGCACAAACAATTGTTTGACTGTGGTAGTTCATTGTAATACAGGCCTACTTAAGGAGGTTTAAAATCTACTTTATTGGAACCCTGTGGCTTTTACAGCACATTAGACCTAAATTAAGCAACAGGGAACCTTCTCTCCCTCTATTTCCAACTGTCCTTTCCTGGCCAGGTGGCATGATAATGCCTTTAGAATTATTTATATATCTCCCTCATTATTTTATCATGCATTTTACTGTGGCAGATTTCCGTCCCCTAGCACTATGCAAGTTGTCAGAGTAATCCTGGATGGAGCCGGCAGGGGTTTTTGGTAATCAGAAAAATATAGCATGATTTTTGGTTTCAGGTATTCAGCTTTGCTGTCATGAAGTAGGGGATGCATTTTCATATCCTCTTTTTCGAGAATAAATGGAAGCAGTTCCTTATGTAGGAAATGAGATATATTTTTTTGCTTGTCATCTCAGCAAAATACCGTATTTTTAGCCAAGCTGAAGCGATGATGGATACCAACTAATGAAGCTAAAATTGTTGTCTGGTAGAAGTTTTAGTATATTTTAGGATGAAAATTTATGTCACGCCTTCCTTAATCACTTGTGAGCACCTCTGAGACTCAGTTCACGTCTTTAAAAATATTTTACCGGCTGTAATGTATAGGTAATTATGACTAGATCGTAAGAGCAGTGTGGAGGATTTTGGGATGGGCTAAAAGTTTAGCCTGGAGTAGGACCATGATGGGTCCCAGGGATACTGCATGATATCCTCTGTCAGGAGAGCAAGCTCAAGGTGTTGTTTGGCATAGAATAAAGCAGAATGAAGGTTGTTCTCCTGTATTCTGGTTGTACCTCTGAAAAGAGGAAGCCCTCTATAGCTCTAGGCTGGGCTGAGCTGGATGGCAGCTTTTACTACCTGCTTAACCGTACCTGTGCAGAAAGGTGTTCAGCACTGGTGGGGCTTGGAAGGAGAAGCTGTGCAGGAGGCAGAAGGGCAGCTGTGGGGCCACAAGGGCCACTGATTCTTCCTGCAACTGCTTCCTGAAAATAAAACTTGTGAAAATCCTGGAACTCCCTGGTACCAACTACTGATATAAGTTGTAGTATGAATTATGGGAACCAGCAGGTCTCTCTGTGGCTGGCATTTGCTAACAACCTGGTGATCTGAGGGCACGTTACTGCACTCTCAGAAAGGCTCTGCAGTGAGATGTCTCACTCGGGGGTCGCTGGCAGCTGCTGGCATCAGTCCTCCTAATTTGTAATTTCCCTGAATACTAGGTGGGGGCTGGCACATGCTCCTTTGTAGCATGAGGTAGCTCTGAGCAAGCATGGCAGCACAACTGCAAGTACATAGGGAATTTCAGCTCAGCCAAAGAGGATGTACTTAATTTTTATGTCCATCCAGGGTTAGGTAACTCCTTAGTGCCGATATTAAGATCTCAGGTTTGAATATGAATGCCTAAAAAGACATAATTGAGGTAAATAAATGTGATGCTTCATAAAGTTTTATGTGGAAGTTTTGAGTGTTCTTTGTAATTGTTATGATTTAAAAAAGATAATTTGCAGAAATAAGACTCTCTGTGTGTGTTTGTACATATGCACGTTTGCAAGGGAAATTCTTCATGCTGTTTATCTTTTGTTTTGCAGACAAAACCTGTTGCATTTGCAGTTCGGACAAATGTTGGGTACAGTGCAGCTCACGATGACGATGTTCCAGTCCCAGGCATGGCCATCTCATTTGAGGCTAAAGATTTTCTTCACGTTAAAGAAGTAAGTAAAGCTAAAGGAGTAAATGAATCTCACTTTAAGGGTCTATTTGAGTAATAGTGCTACTATTTGTTGATGTCAAGGTAACACTTCATGTTGTCAAAGCATTATATAAATGTTATTATACATAAAGTAACTGTATGAATGTTTTTTGAAATACTGTTCTCATAAAAGCAATGGCACAAATTCCTTGCAATCAAATTAATGAAGTTTAGAAAGCAAGTGCTCTGCTCCTCTGGTAACTATCACTTATTTGGAGCTTTAAAAAACTCCATCTGCATATTCAAAGATATAATATCTGTGGGTTTTACCATTCTAGCACTCTGAGGTTTCATTGTGATTTAGCGGCCGAGGGTTGACTCTTTTATTTTTTAACTCTTAATTGAGATTTAAAAACCCAAAATCCTTAGGTGTCCTTTTTTTCACTGAAGTTACTTTCCTGGCACAGACAATATTTTGTTGTTAACAGTTACATACTGAAGAACTGACGTGATAACTTTCAAGATGCACATAGCAACTGTCAAGAAAGGCGCTTTGCATTTGCTGCATTGATTTTCTTTTCCTGTAGTTTCTCTTTAAAAATATTCAAGTTTTATAGTTTCAATCACCTAAACTCTTGTTATTTCTCTGCTCCTTCAAGAGAGCACGAAGCAAATAACTTGGTAACTTCCCTATACAGACCTTCTGTAGCAGCCGGCTGCTCCCTTCTGAATGATTTCCTCATTTTATGAGAGTTCCCAGTTTCTGATCATATTCCATTGGGTTTTGTCACAAAATGGCCCATCAGGAAATGGAACTTCATAGCAGAAGAACTAGAAAGTTAGCTTAATTATGAGAGCAATTTGGCCATTCATTTGAAATTATATCTTTGCCCCATTTTACATTATTGAAAAATCCTTCAGTTGCTGTGATTGGTGATGCACAATGATTCTGCTAGTGCAGGTGCTCCATGGAAGCAAGAAACATTCCTAATGCACAGGTGGAAATACAGGTGAACAGAGACCAAGGAAACACAAGAAATGCACTTTTAGTGCCTTTGTACTGATGAATAATGATCAAAATTTTCTTTGTATATGAAACTGTATATAGTGAAGAAAATATGTTTTCTGTCTGCTGACAGTGCAAAAGAATTGCTCTGCTCTGTCTTGTTACAAAAGTAGGGATGAGCGGGTATAGAGTCCTGGCAATAGAAAATCATCAGCATTCTCTGGTGAGTCTGAAAGCCCTGGAAAATACGGCTCAGTTTGATTAGATTAAATGACTTTGTATGGTTAACTATTCTATCTGCATCTTGAACGAGCTGGTAATCTCAGATGTCAAGTCTTTCCCCTGTTTCTGTATGAACCAGAAACACATTGCTAGCAGTTTGTCTGATATAACTTAAGCTTTTTTCCTCACAGCACAACTTAGACTCCGGTGTAAATATGCATGGAATATAATCAGGAAGAATAAAGTTCCCTGAACTTTTCTAGATCTCCAGAAATGCTTTAAAAGGAAACTTAGCTCAGCTGAGTTGTTATATTGTCTGTGGCTACATGTAGCACTGAGGAATGGAAATATAGATTAAAATGCTGTTTTTCTTGCAGCTTCAGGTGGAATAGAACAGACACTCTGTGCTAATTGCCTTTAAAAATACCTGGTTTTCTCCCTAGGCATTAAGGAAGGTTGACTGTCTAGTGGTGCTAGACCAGAGCTGGGTTGTGGAAGGAACCCTGTGCACTGCTGGGGTGGAGAGGTGGGAAGGGACCCCCAAGGAGCCTGACTTGGACTTGCTGGTTCTGCCTTTTGCAGTGGCTGTTACATCTGGGTGGGTCAAACCTCTTCAGGAGGGTTCCCGGAGGTGTGAGGAGTGGCCGTTCCCTGCACAGACGTGTCTGCCCCCTCCCTCTTCCGTGGCCATGCCCCGCTCGCTCTCCAGCATTCTGTATCCTACCAGATACTGCTTCTTCAGTAATTTTGGTGCTCCCTATAGTTAGTGCTGGGAGAATTGAAATGTCAAAAAATTAATTATTTATGCAGGAGAAAAGTAAAAAAACATATCTGACTATAAAATGCATTGTTGCTTTTATATTTTACACCTAACTGGTTGCTAGAAATGAAGAAATCTAAGTTAATCTCCGATAACTTTTGCCTGCATAGCAGTGCCATATTGGATCAACGCTGTCCTCTTGTCTGCGAGGAGTGTTCTCCAATTTGTGCTGCTGAGAGGGCTCAAACAAGAAAAGCCTCAGTTCAAAACGTACATGGGCAGTGGTGAAAAGTATTGCAGTGATTGAGTATGAGGGAAATTTATTTTCATTATTAGGATACATTCATTAAAACTCAGTACATATAAAGATGAAGGCTTCCTTCCCGCATGAAGAAACAGGCGCTGCATTATAGTCACTCCAGTATCTTTTGGGGCTTTAATGCATGGCCATAATTCTGCTTTGCATTTAATTCATATTTGTGTTTCCCTTGGCACTCCATGCACAGGTGAATTACAGAGAGTTGCTCACCCAGCCAGCACCTTGAGAGCTGGACATCTCACTACCAAGATTTCCACTATTGCTTTTTAAAATTAGAAAGTATTATGTGTGGTATTATTTACTTATAAAAGTATCTTATCCTCCTTTTCATATGCTGACACAGCTTTTAGATTTGAGACTTTGCAGGAGTAAATTCCAGATGCTTTTATTTTTGTATGAAGAAAAAATTCCTATGGATTGCTATCAATTAGGATAAAATTAATGTTGTTGCGTAGTAGTCTGTTGTACTGTAGGACAGTATAAAAAAAGTAGTGGCTGTTCAGATTTAAATTTAATGGTTGTTTTTAAGTATCTATCTCTTCCTTTGACCAAGTTAACATTATTTCTGCAGACTTCCTGTATACCATAGAGCAGATCCATATAATGGCAACCTCCACTGGCTCAGTTGCTACAGCAACCTATGTTATCCTACAACATATTTTAAAAGCACATGCATAGCTTTAGTTAGCATTTTGCAATGAAAGGTTATGATTTTAATAACAAGTTTCAGTCTAATAGAGCTTTGAGGGACTGCTGTTCCAGGTTAGCTCCCTATTAAATGTTAGTATTCTTATGCATAAAGGCATCCCATTGGATGGATGTTATAGATCCCCTTATATTTTATGAGCCTAAAAGTGTGTTTATTTAAGTTTTTATTTTCTGTTAGCTAAATATCTCAAAGTTGGTTTCAAGCATCACAACATTTCTATAGTAGCCAAAATGAAAGGTAATAACTGCAATTTAGGTTGTGTAGCACTGATCCACCAACGTTGTATTCTCAGTGAAATTAATTCCTTTTTACAGGAGCCCACACATTTTACATGTTTTACTCCTAACTGTACACTTGTTAAAACTACTTATTAAATAATTAAACATGCATTATAATATCTACATTCATAGCTTCATACTCAAGAAGGCAACTTCTCTTCCCATTCAGATGTTCTCTTACAGTTTCATAAATAATCCAAATTGTCCACAATACATATTTGATGGTAGTTATTCCCATGGAACTCCTAGAGTATTGCATGTGGGGCCATACATAATATTGACCTATTCTCATCCAAAAATGGTGAATAAATAATAAAGGAAAAAGCAAATAGTGCAGACCTCTGCAAAACAAACAAATAAACCCCCCTTTGTGTGTATGAATAAATATTATTAGAGTAGTCATTATCATATCATATAGCTGAAATTCAGTTAATGGTACTATCTTGTGCATTTGTAGAATTATAGGGTTTTTTTAGTTGTCCAAGTGGATCTATTGCTGTATGTTTAAGATGCAGATCACATGAGCTGTATGCAGTAGAGCATATATAAGCAGTGGAATGTAGTTATATTTCAGAAAATGTTATTGAGTTCAGAGAAGCAGGGGAGTTTGGGTAGTATTTTTTTATTTTAAATGGAGAACTGGATTTAATGGAATAAGAAAGCCAGATTATTACAGAGCTTTAAAAATTGTTGCAGTGGGTAGGAGCAGATAAGAAATCTCTGGTGTCCACCAAGGAGAAACATCAAGGGAGAACAAAAGCAGCTCTCATGTATGAGGAGAAAAGACTGTGAAGCAGAAAAAAATAAAGATGGTGAAATAGATGGAAATAACAGCCAGGGAGAATCATGAAGTCTGTGAAGGAAGGTTTCTGCTTAAGTACTGTAACATTTTAATAATTTGCAAGGTATAATTATTTTAGTGTATTTCTGAATATTACCACAATTCTTCATTGCCATAATAACATAGTACAGCGATTAACTGCAGGGAAGAATTACATAAAATGGCTTAGCTGCAAATTGAAAATAATAAAAAAATTATCCCAAATACAGTAATTTCTTAGTACATGACTTTTTTTTTTTTTTTTTTTTTTTTTAATCTGTAGAAATTTAATAATGACTGGTGGATAGGACGGTTGGTAAAAGAAGGCTGTGAAATAGGATTCATACCAAGCCCAGTCAAACTAGAAAACATGAGGCTGCAGCATGAACAAAAGGCAAAACAAGGAAAATTCTACTCCAGGTAATAACAACAAATCAAAAATAGTAGCATGGACTGTGACACAATTTGGAAGTTAATGCTGTGTATGCTATAGTTCTCTTTAATTATTGTAATTGGCAGCTACAATCAGTGAAGGAAGTAATATTTATTTATATAATTAACGTCATTTCCATTTGAGAGAGAAAGCAGGTATTTTGATTGGTGGCCTGTGGTGGCCTACAGTGCCTATTATTCCATTTTATTTTCATAATATATTTGCAAATATACATTGCAGTTACTACATTTACTATGTGCAAGCACAATTTTTATTGAAAATCGATCTCCCTAAATCCTTTAGCATTTGATACTTGTTTTCATGATCTGGCAATTTCTAAACACTTTCAAGTGGATTTTAGAAATTACAGAAAAAGTTAAGATGAATTTATTTTTAAGCTGAAGCCAGTGCCTGTTGGTTGGCTCTCAGGGAAAAAATGTTTTGGTCTTGTCAAATTCATTGCCTAAAAATACAGCTTTTAAGAATATTGCATTTTATGATGGAAGTTTCATGTCAAGTCATTTGTTGTCTGTAACTGCAGCCATCATTACATAAAAATAAAGGTTCAGTATCTAAAAGTATTGAAGAGTACTGTTAGATGGCAATAATGTCATCTTTACTGTAGAATTCTTAATGAAGCAGTTTTCTAGTAACTGTTAACACACGTGGAAGCAAATGCCACTTGCTTTGGGTATATAGGAAACAAGTATTTCCAGTATGTCTGAGCAAGATGGAGCTGGAAATAAGAGAACATCTGGGAAACATTTGGGAAGCCAGGAAGGCTTTCCTGCTTCAATAGGAAGGACAGGAGGGTTTGAAGAGCGTGTCTACACTAGGAGGAGACCAGGATGCTGCAGTGCTCAGCCGCATTTGCTGGCTGTGAAATGCCTTTCCTGTGAGTGTGCTCTCCGCAGCAGGAGGACGTGATGTTCCTTATTCCTCCTGTGACTCCGATACAGCCAAATCTGACCTAGTGATTTGGTCCCTTTCCAAATTGTAAAGGCTTCCATTCTCCAGAACTTCTCACTGGAGATAACACTGTCCTATGCCACAAACGCATTTACTTATTAATATTTTAAGGTGGAGAAACTGGAAACTAGTACTATCACATGAATTATTTGAAGAGCAAAATAGCCGTTCTTACATTCTTTTCTGTGCTTTTCTCGTTATGGTAGCTGAAATAAAATGTCTAAAAATATTGTTTCATTTTCACAGCTTGGGTAGGTTTTCACAAAGCAGAATTGGAAAAAATCCTAGACTGCTTTATCTTTGTTTGATGGGCTTTTTTTCCTAAGTGCTACCTGGTATTGAGACAGCAAAAGAATTTGTACTTTAATTAAATTGAAAAGATGTTAAGCAAACACGCTATCAGTTTCACTAGGAAGCTATCAATAACTCTTCTGTGAAAGGAAACAGATATGCTCACTGTCTTAAGAATTAGTAATGGCTAGTAATATTAATAATTATCTATCAGTAGCCATAGTAATAATTGGATGGCATGAAGATCATGAGGTAGTGAGAGCATATGCAACCAGATGAAGTTGCACAGCAGAACAAGGAGCACGATTGATGTTTGCAGTTCCTCAGTACTCAAAATGTACGCACATTTTGTGTAAGATATATGTATTATACCACTGCCAGAAATACCATTCATCTCTTGGCTAGCAGCTTGTTTATAAGGCAGGTAATAAACAAACAAGAGTAAATACTGAGAAAACTATGAAACATCAAACTAATTTGTTGCTTTACTCCAGTAAATCAGGAGGAAACTCTTCATCCAGTTTGGGTGACATTGTTCCTAGTTCCAGAAAATCGACGCCTCCATCATCTGGTGAGTAGGTCACGGACCCTTTGGTTTACAGACTCATGCATGTAATCTGTTAAAATGTGTATACATTTAGCCCTACTTTTGCTATTCCGTGTGCTTCACGGGTATGAGGTTGGGTGGTTGCGCTGCCCTATAAGGCTGGTTTGGGTAAGTTTGAAGTAATTCAGTCAATGCCAGCAAGTTCAGGCAGTGATACAGCTGTTAACATGCCACAAAATTCCTGCTTCGCTTTTACCACAGTGTGTTATAACAAAGACATAACAAAATGATGAGACTACATTGCAGTAG